CGAGATCACACCAACCGCGTTTGTGGTGTGGCCGCCACCGTGTGTCCGGAGGGAACAAGGCCCATGGCGTTTGGGCCGAAAGCTTGATAGTGAAGGCGGCGGGGAGCATCCGAGAGAGGCTTGCTTGGAAGGCACATCGGAGACCCACTTGCGCGTGGGGAAGGCCCGAGGCTATCCACGGAGTTACCCGACCGGGAGCTTGGCCCTTGCGAGGGGCTCCAACGAGGACTAGGGGGAAGCTTGCGCGCTTCTCGATACCTCGGTAAAAATACCGGAGTCGTCGACGGGAGTTTGCATATCTCTACCTTGCTCTTTAAGCTTCCGCATTTACATTGATCATATTATTATCATTTGCGGTAGAGATAGCAACACACTAGCAAAACCGTAGTTGCACATCTAGATAGATTATCTTTTGCATAGGTTTTGCTAGAAGTAGAAAAAGAGGCCATAGTTTAGAGTTAGTTTTTAAGTTGCCTAATTCACCCCCCCCCTCTTAGGCGTCCACGTGTCCTTCAGGCGGGCGTCAACTGGGTCCTGGATGTGCTTCAAAGACATTGTAATCATGACTGTCGTCTGTCATTTTGACTCAAAGCTTCACAATCACCGTTGGAGTGGAGGTCGCTGGAGTTCGGCCGCCGGTGGTGGTGTCAGCCGGTGAACAACTACATGCTTATCATGGGTGTTCTTTGTTCCCTTTCTGTGTTTGTGGTTGTTGTCCGCTCTGTCTCGTGTGTGTTGTTGGTGGTGTTGTGTTTTAAGTGTGCGTACTCTACTGTATCGTTTTTAGCGGTAATTTATATTAACTCCAATGCAATATATTCAGGCCCGGTGACCCATCAAAAAAATGACTTCATCCCCTAGATTTCTTCAAATTATGTGCTTTGGCGAGCGATAAGGTCATGATGGATTAGCGCATTCCGTTCCAGGAAACAAACACGGAAGTGTGGAGTGACGTGATCTTGGTGAGCTTTTTCAGTCACTTATCCCGCTCATCCACATATGCGTGTTCAAAAAATTGACAAAAAAGGCCGACGCCCACCAAGGCTTGTATCTAGTGCTCATGATTTAGACTTAATATACTCTCTCACGTCACAATAAAGTGGTATTTTTGGATTGCCTAGAGTCAACCATTCCGAATTCTAAACATTCAAATTACTTTGTCTCTCCTAGATTAACTATGAGAATCATACTTTTTTTCCAAAATAGCTTGATCGTGGCACCAAACGGGCCCCTTATAGGCGGGTTCAGATTGTCTGACTTACTGAAGCTAAGTCATAGCTGACTTACCCTATCCCCGATGCCTTCCATTCTTCATCCAATGGCTGACAAACGAAACAGCTTTCCCAGCCCTAGAAAAAAAAAGCCCAGCTACGGGTCTGGCCCAGATACCGCCGCTACGCTCGCTGCCACTCGGGAGAAAATCGCTGCGCAGCCATGCGGGATATTGACGGCACGCGATAATTTTTTTGGCGGGACCCAGCCGCTGCTCGTCTTCGCTGGGGTCCAAAAACGTATTGCAGCGTCTACACGAGCATGCTCAGCATGCTATCTGCACCGTCCAAAACTGCTTTGAGATTCGTGCTATGCACTCTACCCAATATTAAACACACTCTACCCAACGTGAAATACTCCTGTTTTGGATGGCACATATCTCGATACGCTATGTGGATGGCCCTGATAACAATGCTCAGCATGTATGCACTGAAAATTGCTTTCGCTGGGTCCGGCCGTTCGGCGCATGTCCTCTGCCGCAGAAAATTTGTGCGGGCTTAGTTCTACCTAATCATGCCCGTCTAATGCATGTTATTAGGGCCTATTTGGATCCTCACCTCTAAACTTTAGAGCTCTAAATTTTAGAGCTAAAGCTTCAAACAGGTGATATAAAATTAACTTTAAACTTTAGCCCACTCCACATTAGAGCTTTAGACCTCAAAAATGAGCTAAATTGCTCTAAAATTTTGAGAGCTCTAAAGTTTAGAGGTAGGGATCCAAACATGCCCTTAAAAAGTGAGCTAAATTAAATTCTGATTGCACCATTGTGCTTCTTATAATAAATGCTTCAAACAAGACCCCACGTGAATATATTTAGATAAATTTTCATTAATGAACATTTATTTCATAAAGATAGAATAGTTTCTTTTATTATGGAACAAAGGCGATGTTCTAGGTTCAAAAAATAATGTTCTGTCTTCGCCAAAAAAATATTCTTGATTTAGGAAAACAGTATTCTAAAATACATCATAGGACATCACGTGTATACCATATACTGTGGAATATAGGAAAAAGAAAAAAGAAAACATGAGAAGAATATGAAAAAAAAAGAACGTTCAGACCCGATGATTTCCGGTCTTCGCCTGCGTCTACTCAATCGGTTGCCCCTGCTTCCCTTGCGTTTGTGTCGTCGGCTACCCCGTTCCTGCCGCGCCCGCATCATCCGGCCGTGCAGGTCCGTTAGTTCGCGATGCCGTCGGCCCCAACTTCGGCCGCGTCTGAGCTAACAAACAAGATTGGACTCTTTAAGCAGCATGAAGTGAATGGCGGTGTAGAAACTCAAGAATCCATGGATAATGCTAATACCTTTGCCTTCACTAGGTTCACAGCTATGATAATGGTAGTTTCGATAATACAATTGTTCAATTATGTAGAATTGACTATTAATTCTTCTTCAATTTTAACTCTTTCCGTTGTCTTTGCAGGGTTCTAGCGATATTGAGGGGGTGTTTGTTTTCACCTCCTAAACTTTAGTCGCTGTCCCATCGGATGTTTAGACACATGTATGGAGTATTAAATATAGACTATTTACGAAACTAAATGCACATATTGAGACTGTTTTGCGAGATGAAATTTTTAAGCCTAATTAGTCCATGATTTGACAATGTGGTGCTAAAGTAAACATGTGCTAATGACAGATTAATTAGACTTAATAAATTCATCTCGCGGTGTTGGGGTTATAACTCCGGGGTGTCTCAAGGCACCGATTAGATAGCAGGCCACGAGGCCTACAATGCGCTAGCTGGCGAAGGCTCGAACGACCGAGGCCTAGTCAAGCTGAGCAAGCCAGGCCGCACACACAGGCTAGGGCCAGCCACGACCTCTTCCTCTAGCCTTAGTCGCGCGGCGTTCACAAAGCACACGACCTCTCCCCATTACTACATGGCCCGGTGATACGGATATACGGTCCCACCCACTACGGGATGGAATCCACGACGAAGGCCACGACATCAAAGCCATCTAGACTGGCAGCGAGCCCCGACCTCAACAGTTGGGGTCATGGTCCGCGGCTCCTCAAGAAAAGACGGACATCGGTGACCCGGGACGGCCACCAACTCCTGTACGAGGTACGACGCCCCGAGAGACAAGACGATGATGACAAAGACCACAACGGAGACCATGCCGCACAGGACGGTTGGCGAACCATCACCATGCCCATAGTGCCGCCACGGCCGGCACAGTGACACTATGTCACACCCTGCCGCAGCATGGCCACAAGACCATGACGATAGCCACGACCGGACGAGCACCAGAAGACAACGTAGCTTGTAAGCTAAGTTAGTTAGACCTTCCTCAGGCTCACAACCCTTCAGTTGGGAGAGCCTACTCTTTGTATGAGCCCTGGCCCCGAACTCTATATAAGGACCGCTAGGGCAACATGACTCACATCCTCTACCATTCCATTCATTCACCATCGTAGTAGGGCTCCTGGAGCTTCTCTTTAGGCAGCCTTTCGTCTAGCATAGGTTTTTCCATCTCTTCCACCATTCTTGCACTCCCCATTGTAAGAACTTCATAGTATTCAAGCGAGAAACACGCACTCGATCATCTCTGAGACTAGACGTAGGGCTCCGGCCTGAACCAGTATAAATCCTCGTGTCTATTGGATGCTACCATCGTCTTCCTAGAGCAGTGCGGCAATCGTATAAGTTTACTAGTCTGGTTTACAAAACACCGACACACGGATTACTGACGGATTCTGTAATTTATTTTTTTATTAGTATCCGAACACCCCATGTGACACCCCCATATGACACCTCCTAAATTTTAGTCCCTGGATCCAAACACCCCCTGACTATACGTGTGTTCAAGATCTTCTTTCGGTTGCTATCACATGGAAGGATTTTTTTTGGCAAATTCTTCTAGCAAGAATTTTTTTAGCCCTAACAATTCTATGGCTAATATATATTTTTTTATGAGTGGTGCCATTTAGAGTTCATTTTGGTTATTTGGAGCATGTAACTATTGAAAATACTTAGTAAATTGCTAGTTTAATTCTGCTGTGAAAATACTTGGTAAAACTCTGTTATTTGTGTATTTGACAAATAATCCCGAGCTGAGCTGTATCTAAGCCAGAACCACAGCTTGGGCTTTCCAATTTAGAGTGAAAAAGTTGCTTTTCTTATCCGCCATTGGATGAGAAACGGAGGGCATCGGACATAGGGTAAGTCAGCTGTCACTTAGCTTCAGCAAGTCAGACGATCTGAACCGCAATACCTAGCACCAGTCCTCATGTGCAGGAGCATCTACGGTAACGGGTAGTCCGATTGCATAGGAAGGTCAAACATGACTCGTCGTCAGCAACAGTTTCCTGAAAGCGTCCTCTGTTTGCCGACGAACGACAGAGCATCCTCTCTATCAGTCTATCTGAAAAAAGATCGTTCAAGGACAGAACGCTGCTCACTCTGTAGTCTCTACTACTTGCTTCAGTTGGTCTACGAGTATCAGGACTTGACAAAACTAGAGGTACTCCGACAGTAATACAAGAGCCCTTTGCTTGATTCTCGGCACGCAAAAAAACACCAGTCTCATCCAGTTATCCAAACCTAGGAACATCACACTCCGACAGTAATACATGACACATACAGATTTTGCAGCAACTACAGCAGCATCCTGACGTCCCATTCCCTACAGCCTACAGGCACGGCGGCTTTTCATCTTCCCGCTGCAGTACAGAAACCATGTGAGTGAGTCAGAGCTCGCCTAGTCGCCTGCGACTGCGAGGTCCTCTAAGCCATGCCGGCGTTGTCGGCGGTCAGTGACCAGCAGTACGTGGTGGTGGCGGCGGTCATGACCGTGCTCGTGGACCCGCACTCGCTGTCGTGCGCCGACGCGCTCCACCGGTCGAGCCTGGCGCCCCAGGGGCACGCCCCGGGCGCGCTGGCCTGCGACGGGCACCGCTGCACGCGCGCGGGGCCGTACCTGGCCGGCGCCACCAGCCCGCGCGCGCCGGGCGTCGCCTGCGCCTGCGCCTCCAGCGACGCCCTGCGCCGCCCGCTGGGCTGCCAGGCCGCCTCGGTGGCGGACGACGACGACGACACCGACAGCCGCTGCCGCGGCGCGCTCTGGGACCGCGCCTTGGCGCGCGACGACTCCGTGTTCGCCATGTAGCTGGGCACGAGCAGCGGGTGCTCCGCCGCGGGCTTGTCGTCCGCGCCCTCGTCGTGCTGGTGCTGCTGCTGCCGCGACGACGCGTAGCGGTACGGGCTGGCCCGCGCGGTGGCGAAGGAAAAGTCATCGTACCGGGCGCTGTACGTGCGCGCGCTGGCGTCGGTGAGCGCGGACGGCGTCGGCGAGATCTTCTGGTACAGCTCGTTCTTGGACGGCGTGCGGCACAGCGGCGTCGCGTAGCAGCTGCTGCGACGGGACGACGTGCGCGGCGTGCCGTGCGCCTCGACTCCGCCGGCGCCGGTGTCCACCTCCACGATCTTCACGTTATCCTCCGCCACGTCCTGCACGCGCATTGCCCGTCAGACTCCCCTGTTCGGATGGCTGGCTGCCTGGCTGGCTATGTTGACGTGTCGGGTAGTGTCGCGTACCTGGTGGTGCCGGAGCCGGGGGTGGTGCGGCGAGCTGCGCCGGGTCGGCGTCGTCCGCGGCGTCCGGACGGGCTTCTCGTCCTCGAGCATCCGTAGGCGCGCGGCGCGCGCCCTGTTCTGCGCGGCGACGAGCGCCTGCATGCAGCGCAGGGTGTGGCTGGCCTGGCGCCGCACCAGGTGGCCGCGCACCAGCGCCTGCAGCTTGACGAGCCCCCGCAGCGCGCACAGCGCCTTCCTCGCCTGCAGCCAGGCACACACACAGACACGTCACGTCACGCCACGCAGCCCAAGGATCGACGCGATGCGATCGAGGTCAAGTCAACAGTGGACGCAGGCACCGCGATAAGTCATCGCCAGCTCACCAAGTAGGATCTGAAGACGGCCTGGATCTTGATCGCGGCGGCCTCCTCGATGCCGATGACGGTGCGCTTGGACCCCGGCGCGGACGCGGAGAGCCTGACGACTGCCGCGGTGGCCTGCTTGGCCGCCATGGCCGCCTCGGCCGCGGCGGCGGTGGCGATGGCGACGGCGATGGCGTGCTGGTCCGGGTCCACCACCCGCGGCTCCAGGAAGCCGTAGGGCGCGAGGCGGCCCTGCGCTGCGGCGTCCTTGGCCGCCGACCCGGCGACGCCGCCGCCGCCGCGGAGGGGCGCCGGAAGCTCCACCTCCGCTTCTCCTTGGCGCCGGGCGTGGACACCGGCGTCGTCGTGGCCGCCCCCGGGAGCGGCAGCGGCAGCGCCAGGTCGGGCGGCTCCGCCGCCGGCGCGAGCGGCCCGGCCTTGTCCCTGGCCCTCCTCCCCGGCAGGAAGCTTCGGAGCCACTTGCCTGCCTTGCCCATCTGCGTACTGCGGGCTGCGGCGGCAGAATCAGAAGGTGTCACTGTCACTGACCCAGCGGCGGTGCGGCCGCATCGTCGGCTGGCTTGCAGAGGAAGAGACCGGAAGCTGGTTGGTCACGAATGGTTGGCCTGACGCTCACGGCACGGCGAGGGCCGGCATGTGGAAGCTGCGTGCGGAAGCAGTGGATGAGTGAAGCGGAGGGGAACAGGAGTGGAGTGGAATGGAATGGAATATATTACACAGCGAGCAGCGGGCGCCATGGCCATGGCCATGTGCGATGCAGCAGCGCTGCGCGCGGCAGATCACGCCTGCAATAACTAGCAGGAGAGGCCAGCCCAGGGCCAGGACCAGGACCGGCAGCCGGCAGGGGGATCCAGGCGGGTACGCGCGTCGATGGCGCGCGCTTGGTTCGTTTGCCTGCGCAAGGGCGTATCCACGTGGCGCGATGTGAGATGCTGAATGGAAGTCTGAGCTCCGAAACCTGAACGAATGGATGAATGGTGGATTGAGAGGTTTGGTGCTGATTGCTCATCATCAAATGTCGATTGAAGCTTGAGAGCCATAGGCAAGAAGCGACAGACTGACAGCCATCGTTGCCGACGATCTGAATCTGATCCTGAAACCCTTTTGTTTTGCCCCATCGTTGACAACAACGGTTGTCCAGGGAGGGCAGAGCCGATTGCATAACACATTCACTATTTTTCGATCTTAATGCAAAGATGCGCAAACCTTTTACGTATTCGAGAAAAGACAACAACAGTTGTCCAGGTAAAAATAATCCACTGAAATTTCCATGCACTTCAGTTGTGCTTGAAACACTCCGATTGACGTGCAGGCAACAATGCCGGCACGCCACCGCCATGCACTTCAGTTCCGGGCTGATTCTGCTAGGGTACTGGTAGTACTCCTATTGTAGTTCACTGAGATCCACTGATGATAACGATGACGCCACGCCATCGCCAGGAAGGATCGGTAGCTTTGACCATGGTTAGTTTATGTATCGGTGGTCAGAGGCCGAGCTGTGCGGCATGTGGTGACTGTTGAGTGGTGGTCGAGTTCCCCCAACCCCAGCCAGCCCCTCCCGTTGTGAACCTGATATGTTATTGTTTTACCAGAGTCACACATGGCACAACTCAGCTGGCGTCAAATCTGTCTGGCCTGGCCATGGTCAGTGCCCCTTTTTAACCACAATAAGCAAGCTTTGGGGCACATGATCCGAGGCCAACGAACAATCAGGATCGGTGAGCCTTTTAGCTAGAATTACTGCTACTTCCTTTCCCAAGACACACAGAGCTGAGCACACCCCCCCATCATATCTCTTCTCTTCATCATACTCGTACGCTTGAACAGTTCAGCCTCGTCGCCATCGCACAGCCATCCGATGACAGATTCGGACGGTTCAGATCGATCTGCCACCGTATACGTATCGCACAGCCATGGCCGAATTGACTGCGGTTTACGTACGGTCTCAGGTGGTACTGGTAGTGCTGCAGACAGGGTGGGTTTAATGTTTTCACGCCACCATTTAATCTGTGGGGTTTCCAAATTTACTTGTTGCCCCGTTCGATTCAAAGCGTTGTTTTGCTGTAGCAGATCGAAGATCATGCATGGCGATATGGCATGGGAGGAGGGACCAGACCTTGCATGCATGGTCCGCCCGTAGTCCGTATACTATATATTATTTGTTTCATTCATGATGATGTGATGGATTAATTGCTCGTCACTCAGGATTTGGTTATTATGCTTTCATTTCAGGCATGATGGCTTCATTTCGAAATGGTTTGGCACACACCATATCCAAACTTTTGAATTCCCTTTATTACATCTATCTATCACTCCAACCTTCATAACTGAGCTAGTGCCTCTTCCTCTTTCTGTTTGAACGTGTTTCCCGGTAAGTATATATGCATTGTTCATGCAGGTTGGATTTGGTGCGCGCCTTCTTGATAATCATGAAAAAAACTGGATGAAGCTCACTCTAGCCTCTCATGTTGTTACGAGCAACCTTGCTTACTTACTTGAGCTATATATGTATGATCGTGGATTTAATTTCCTTTTTTGAGGAAACTGGAAGGGCTTACGCCCTTACAGTGCAAATTTATTGACTAATAAATAGTAAAAACAAAGTAAAGAGTACAGGGTAGCCGACCAGAGTTCAAGAAACACAAAAAGATGAGGCTACTCCTGACACTTATGACACTTATGCTAGGGAGGAACTCTTGATCAAAGGCCTGAGCTTTCCTACTGTTTTACTCTGTTGGAGAGAAACTTAATCTCCCTGAGAAAAGTTCCTTTGCAGACTTGAAGGCTAGGCTGAATTCCTTTCAATATGAGATCAGGATTTAATTTCTACGTACATCCAATTGTGTTTTCTTCAGATTCAGTGTGTGTGTGTGTGTCGAAGCTAGTCGAGCTTAAGGATTCAAGATCCGGCTGCCCGGAGCTTTGATCCGTATCTGACTTGGCAAGCTTGTATACAAAATTAAAATATATAGATATACCCACCGAAGAAGGTGCTAAACAATTAATAAATATACTATATGCAACAAATGATTTATGCGAGAGGATGCTGTCATGCTGGATAGGCTGGAAAGCACGTGCTGTCTGGATCTATCGCTGTCTGTCAGGCTTGTGTCACTTATCCATTGTTGTGTCGATTAGGGATTAAATAAATAAATCATCAGAATTACGTAGTACCTTGCAGAGTGCCGCTGCGTGCAAATGGAATGAGCTGGTCTGCAACTAGTGTACGTAACAAGTCTACATAACGTTGTAGTAGTATGATTTGTAGTTGTATAACTGGTATAACTTGTAGTAGTAGCTATGCCACAGCACATTTGGTTGAACTCTTGCAATTTTACGCATGACTGAGATGGATTCCAAAATGAACATTTACCCAGTGTCTTTTTTAGGTCTTCTTTTCTCCCGCGGATCAATAAGTTACGACTTTACAAAAAAAGGATAGCAGATGGAGCCAGGTGTCATGCAAAGGTCGTGGTATATACAATCATTTTCGAAGGAATTTTCCATGTCATGATTGGCTGATGCTTACCTTGCAAGGTTGCTGCAGGTGCAGATCATTTCAGATAGCAAGCTGCGCTGCATGTGTGTCAAGATTACTCTGTTACCCTGTGTTTCTCGTCTTTCTCCCAGCCCCCTTTTCTCCCCTGCCTTGCATAGGCCGTGTTTAGTTGGGTGAAATTTGATAATTTTGCTACTGTAGCATTTTCGTTTTTATTTAGTAATTAGTGTTCAATCATTGACTAATTAGGCTCAAAATGTTCATCTCGTGATTTCCAACCAAATTGTGTAATTAGTTTTTTTCATCTATATTTAATGCTCCATATACGTATCGCAAGATTCGATGTAATGGCTACTGTAGCATCTTTTGAGAAACTTTTTTTTGGAACTAAACGTGGCCATAATTGCATTGGTGTCTAGTATTTACTTTACAGATCAAAAGGGAGTTGCACATGCATGTGTGACTGACTGATACGTGAAGGATCGCTTGCAGGGTTGGCCACCGTACCCATGCAATGCAAAGACAGGTGGTAGTGGTGCTGCCAGGTGGCTACCCTACCTACTGCCGTAAGTCCGTACCCAGAGCTTGACCCAGGAAACTCCAGCAATTCATCGTCGTTTCAGTTTAGTGCCTGTTTAGTTTTCAAATTTTTGCAAAATTTTTCAAGATTTTTCGTCACATCGAATATTTTGACGTATGCATGAAGCATTAAATATAAATAAAAATTAAAACTAATTACACAGTTTAGACGAAATTCACGAAACGAATCTTTTAAGCCTAATTAAACTATGATTGAACACTAATTACCAAATAACAACGAAAGTACTAAAAAATCGCCTAACACGCCAATGTCAATTCATCATCGGGGGAAAAAAACTCAAGGTGCCTGTCGTCGTGATGTCGTCGAATAACAGCGGCTATTAGTAGTGTGTACTCGTGATGTCACTGTACCTTTGCATGGCGTATGGTGTATGCAAGATACAGACATACAGTGCTATGCCGTATGAACATAAGGTGTGACCGACCTCTAACATGGCTCTCTGGAGTCAATTTTGACATGTTTAGTTGTCTGGAAATGGGCTGAGGCTTGGCTAGAGCTGGCCATCCGTACCCCTTTAGCCTAGCCAGAATTCAACGTCTGAATCGCTCAGCAGCCAGGCCCGAGCCAGCCCCCATGCTCGTTCCCCTCACCTCACGTCCTGTTTAGCACCGCAGACCGCACCATCACCACCTCCAACAACGCCGGTCGTCCACTGCAGCGTCACGGATGCCCTTCTCCATCACGTCGTCGTCCACCCTTGCGGCGTGGGGATGCCGGCCGGGCAACGATGGGTGGTCTGCGCGACCTTAGGGGCGCGACAGGCGGATCTCGTCGGCCTCGAGATGGTGCTTGGAGGCGTCGAGGGGATCTTGAAAGGTCCTAATGGCTAGAGGGGTGTGAATAGCCTATTAAAATTTTCTACAACAACACTTAGCAAACCGATTAGACAATTATAAAGGCGAAGCAAGTGTTACGCTAGCCTACTAAAAAAAGCCCACCTACCACAATTTTAGATTCTATAGTTTCTAACCACACAATGACTATGTCACTATACTAAGTTAGTGTGCTCTCAAAAGCTAACTAAAGAGCCACACTAACCAAACTAACAAGCTCTCACAACTAGCTACACTAAAGAGCTTGATAACTAGTTTGCGATAATGTAAAGAGAGTGAGCAAGATGGTTATACCGCCGAGTCGAGGAGTGAACCAATCAATCACAAGAATGAATACCAATGAAGACCAATCACCTCGAAATCAAATGATGACACAATGATTTTTTACCAAGGTTCACTTGCTTGCCGACAAGCTAGTCCTTGTTGTGGCGATTCACTCACTTGGAGGTTCACGCACTAATTGGCATCACACGCCAAACCCTTAATAGGGTGCCGCACAACCAACACAAGATGAGGATCACACAAGACACGAGCAATTTACTAAAGTATCTTTTGGCTCTCTGCCAAGGAAAGGTCAAGAACCCCTCATAATCACCACGATCAGAGCCGGAGACAATCACCAACCTCCGCTCGACGATCCTCACTGTTCCAAGCCGTCTAGGTGGCGGCAACCACCAAGAGTAACAAGCGAATCCCGCAGTGA